TAATAGAAATGAAAAAGATTTTGGGCAACCAAGGACAGAAAGGTCTCCTATGCACTGTTTGACATTAGAACGTTGTAAGGAAGTACTTACACTCTACCAAGTAGGGTGGAGATCAAAACAAATGTATTGCCAAAAGTTTAATAGATGACATCAGAAAAATGATCTAACTTTGAAAGGACTCAGGTCTATTTGCACATACACCTGTAAACCTAAGCAAGAGGACTGCCAATTGCTAAGAACACACAGAATACACACTTCACCTCAGATATGCAAGAGAAAACACCCTTTTTCTTCTGTTGTAGAGACTCTGTCCATCTGGTTACCAATTACTCTCTTCCCCCATCTTTTAAAAATAGAGCCCTATTTAAAGTGATTCTGGAAGCCTAATGTAACTATGAAATGTACAAGCAGCAATTAATTTGGAGTACCTATTGGAATCACTGGAACATTTAGTTGGACCCTTTAACTCTTCCACACAGCACATTCACATGGACAGACTAAGGAAAAGGAGATGAAATGTAAATCAGCACATTTGTTTGCTTTACTTTTCAAGAAAAAAAAAAAGTTACGTTGGAATCTTTTATTCTTGTACTTGACCATGATTCTCCCAATTTTTAACTACATACAACTGAGATACAGGATACAAGTTGCCTCAAAAAATTCCTTTTGTTAGTTGACATTTAAATAAGCCAGTAACTCTTTAGGTATTAATGTTATCTCACTCCATATATGCTTTAACTTTTGCAGCATTAATGTCACACTTATAAACTGGTGTCCATACCAGCCACATCTACTCTTGGTGTTTTAAAATTTTTTTAAATGTCTCGGCCGACACCAATTTGTAGCAATGCTTTAAGTGTTTGCAACATATATTTTACTAGACATAACTCATTTGACTTCCTGTAAGGTTCAGAATGGAATTGTTAACTAGTAGGAAGAACACGCCACAATGGTGCAGCACTTCTGTCAGATGCTAACTCTCCAGCCTGTAATATCTGCATTATCTTTCAATAATATAGACAGACTGGACATGCTCATGAGTAACTATGTCATTGGCACAGTATGGTGACCATAACGGTGCAAAAAAACCCTGAATCTCTATAGAAGACATTTCTCTAGAGACTAACCTACACTGACATTTACTTCACACTTCCAACTACAGTATATAGCTTTTTATGCCCAGGATTCAGCTTTAAAAGCAAAGCACCTGCTCAAGACACAAGTATATGCTGAATCCTGGCATGAAAAAGAAAGTATTCCTTATCAATAACTAGGTAACTACAAACTGACAACATGGTTACGATCCCTGTCCTAATAACTTGCCTAACCAAGTAGTGATTACTGATGTCCTGGCCCATCTTCAACATGTTTGCCTAACACTAGGCTTACAATCAACACATTCTACTACATAGGTGTTATATTTTCTGAGTAATTCTAGGTTAACATTATGAATATAACCCATCTGCCTATTTCCAATCTACTATCCCTTAAAACTATTATTAAAGATTCCTGGGGCAACTAACGAAAATTATTTCAATCATTTGTATTTTTAGTCAATTGGTTAGGATGTGAAAGCATAGTCCTACTCAATAATGTAAGCGTATCATCAATTTCCCACCTAACCTCCTCCCTGAGACTGTGCTATTTCTGCATGACTTGAGATTGACATAAGTGTGACGCCAAATAAACTAGCACACATATTAAGCTAAACATAATGAAAACTAAGTATTAAGAGGAATTGTTTCTGTTCAATTTCAAAAACATAGACTCTAGGTGACCCCTGGTTTTTCACCTACTCCAAAGGGATACATATATTAGTAGTATAGCTCACTTCCAAATTCTCAAGGGCTTATTCTAATTAAGTTTCGTAACAAAGGTTAATAAGACAAAGGTCACTCCAACATGAGTTAGCTGGACAAAGTACTTTTAATGCTTATTTTACAAATATGTACCTGTAGTGCTAATCCTAGGCAAAGAAAACAGGATGATTCAAGAGCAGCCTATGTAACTACCAACTCAAGCGCTAATACTAGCTAGACCACCTTCATGCTTCAAAATTTAAAGTTACGGAGTAGCTGTGGCCCTCCCCCACCAAAAAAAAAGCTTTAAATAAAGGCACTGCAGCGTTAACTAAATTTTAGGGTAAATTTAGGCAATTAACAATTCGAAGAGACTTGTGGTTTATATAATTAGTAATTCAAATGACTGTTTTAGAGATCTCAGGTAGTTGACCGATTCTTGCTCAAAGCACGGTTTATGCTGGGTATGAGTCCCAATGCATAGGAATTGCAACGTATTGTCAGGCGTTTAACGTATGTATGTTGGCTTTTATTAACTATTACTAAAATGTTAAAACTTAAACCCAATTATTCACCAAACTGAACCCCTCAACCTCAGAGCTCCAGAATTAGGAATGAATGACAAAGTTTAGACTCCAATCATTTTAAGAATGTTAGGTGGGAAGAAATGGCTTCAGATGCAGCATTCTGTTCATCTTTCCAAGGGAACATCTCAAATGAGTATTCTCAAGCAGGATGAGAAGTAGATAAAATTCTCTGCTACAAGTTCCATCCACTTTTTTTTTTTTTTTTTTTTTTTTTAAGAGACCAGGTCTCACTATGTTGCCCAAGATGGTCTCAAACTCCTGAGTTCAAGTGATCCTCCCGCCTTGGCCTCCCAAAGTGCTAGGACTGCAGGTGTGAGCCACCACACCCAGCCAAGTTCCATCCACTTTTGAAAACAAGACATTTTATATTTATGTATAGGAAGAGAATTATGGAAACACTTTGTAAAACATCCATTTATTATATCCAATGCTAGACACTACCACTTGGGCTCTAAAAGATATGTTTATGCCTCTCTCACTGTTTATGCTAGTTTTTTAAAAACCAAATATACAAGGTCTACAATTATTTATATCCAAGATGTCTACACCACTGCCTAAGAAGCTATTAAAATATTTTTATTTGTGCAATGGAACCCATTATTTACATGGTCCTAGAATAAAAAGTCAATTTATATTGTGAATAAATTTATCAAAAAACATGTCATTCAATTCCCACAAATGAGACGTTTTAAATACAGAATACACTCTATTCATGAATATAAAATCCCCAGGTGAAAGTCCCTTAAAATACTATTATGGTTGTTTCCTAGAATAATTTCATAACTTTTTCAAAGAAAATTCCTTTAAACTTTAATACCTTGTTGCTAGTGCTCAGAACATCTAGGTTCAACCTTTATTTTTATAGACAGGATCTGTCCTAGGCAAATGAGGGCTTGTTTTTATAAATTTAAGAGTTTCCTCTTGTCATTTCAGTGTCAAATTGATTTGACTCAATTTCATGATTTCATCTTGCTCAAGGCCATAAACTGGTCAAAGCCAGAGCCCTTCAAACGATGTGTGAGTATATGAGGGAAAACTTTCCATATAATTTTATTTACATCATTTCTATCTCACAGCAGTCTAAGTTTTAGTTTTCTTTTCTCAAATTCTCTGCTGTTTTTGTATTACTGCAGCTGACCAATCCAAAGCCAGTTTTCACTCAGCATGTTATTCTATTTTCAAATACAACCTCTTAGTGAAAGCACCCCTCAAATCAACAGCAATCTCACAGTGAGTTTCTTTTGGGTAGTTAGGATTTGTCCAGAACTACATCCTTTTCAGTTGTTCAGATTTTTGCTTGCCATTAGGGAGGCATGGGAAGGATGAGCAATAAATCGGGTTTCTCATTCATATCTTATTTCTTAACTTACCTAATTTTCTCCCTGTTGCTTGCTATTTGGTACACTCCCTTCTCTGAAACCTTAAAGTGTTTAAGGTTACTTTAAGGTTACTTCTTCCATACAAGTGTAGACAATGCTATTAATTCCAGTCTTGACTAAAAATTTTAACATTTTTCTGGGTACCATTTTTAACTACACTCTCCCCAAATTCTCTGGGCTAAACAGGAATGATAGTCTACCTAGTGTTACTTGACCGTTACTTTCCCATTGCAATTATAAAATGAATTCCTTAATAAGCAATTTTAAACTACAGGGTATATCCAAGACTTTTTAAAGGCACAAAGGACAACTTTAGGACACAACGCTGATTAGAATCAAAACCTGAAACTGTTCCTCTAGGTAAGCCTATGCAATCGTAATAAGGTATACTGAAGAGTAACTCAGGCCAGTGGTTCTTAGCATTACTTGCTAGAAAAGGTAAAAATCCATGACACTATCTTCAACTGTTAAATATCCTATGTTAACTAAGGATTAGCCTTTGTTCCAAAAATGTCTCAACTGAACCTACACCATCACTTAAAACTCCAGCTTACAGCAAGAAAATTCCTTAGAAGTATGAATTCATATTTAAGATCTGATTTTAAAGGGCTAAAACAAAATTCTAAGCAATCAGAAACATAGCAAACCTAAACTTACCAAAAGCAACCTAAAAACACCAAGGAAACACTAGACTGAAGTCAAATTTTAGTTCTACAGTTTGACTCCTGATTCCTCACTTCACATGGGTGAGGGGAAGATTAAAAGTGTTCTGTGCAAACCCAATATAATTACAATTAGGGGATCTAATGTTATTACAGAGCTACAGTCAAGTTAGCAGTGTTGTGTAGTAGTGACATCAATGACTGGCTTGCATGATGGCTTCTAAAAGCATCTGTTCCCAGAGTTTCATGTATCATATATATGTATATAAAATAATCAGTTGAGGACAGCATTAGCATTCTGTAAAGATGATAAACTCAGTGTTAACTTCTCCCAGCCAGTACCTTTTCCCCTCATTAAATATGTTAAAAGTTGTCTGGTGGGGAGGGGAAGGGAAGAATTCAACTTTACTTCATAATTATGTATCAATTGTCAGTATACATTTAAGTTTTTAAAACCTAAATGTTCTATGCAGAGTAAATAAGCTGTCCAGAAAGCACACACTTAAAATTTCTCCTCTTGGGAGTTATATAAAGGGATTTTGAACCTTGATGGCGAGAATCCCAAAACAAGAGTAAAATGAATTCTTTTTATTGCAAACAAACGTCTAAATTAATTTCTCCACCCACTTTCTTTAGAAAGAAAAAGAAATCAGCAGGCTAAGGAGATACCCATTCAAGAACTGACATGATTAAAAATTAAGATATAAATGGGTGACTCACAATTTCATTAGCTTACAAAGATGGTGGAGTTAACTACTACAAGCACACTAGTTATACAGTATTTTGTGGGAGAAGGGCATACAGACATGGCTAACTTCATATAGATCCCATTAGACAACTGGATTTACAACAAGTTTTTTTAATAAGAAATGGGCAAAGCCAGCTTTCTTTTCAGAATCAAAATGCAGAACAAATGGAAAAATTATGGTATTTAACCTTCACAAGTTTGAGCCTCCACAAATAATGCAACCAAGGTTTACATTTTTAACAGCCCTTCTACATACACTCCATCTTCTCTATCTTAGTTCCAAGTTTTGGTTTTCAATCCCAATTATACCAATTCCAATGTTATTTAAGAAAAATCCTTCCCAGTTATTGTCAGAAACTACGATTTAGCTTACCCCCTCCACTACCCAGCAAACTACAGAGAGGATGGAGTGTAATATGAGCAGTACAGAGTCTTAATGCAATTCATGAGGACCACTTAGTCCTTACATGAATCTGGTTGCTAACATTTCTATTATATTGTGACAATGACTCCCGACTGTTATTCTCTGTGAGAAATGGGGGGAGTAAATTCTTAATAAAAGACACCAGGTACAAAGCAACATTTTACTTCTGTTGTGATAAAAAAAAAAAAGTCACATTTTACAGATAAAATGTAGAACCCTGAAATACTGACACATTCTCTTATCGTGCACAATGCTGAGGTTCTCTTACGATTCACTTTTAAACTGCAATTAAAAATGTACAAAAAAGAAAAGAAAAAAAATCAACCCACAAAGCTTCTAAAAAAGGAACCCGCAGGCACTTCCTCTTGTGGAATGTTTAAAAAGTTAGCCTACTAAAGAAAACAGTCGACTTCTTGTGAAGGTTTTGGAGAAATATGTATCAGTTCGTTTTATTTGGGTATTCAATAATATCCTTGGTGATAATGCTGACTCCATGGCTTCTGACCCCAGAATTGCTGTAAGAGAAAATTTTGTTTTTAAAGAAAAAACATCAATAAGCCACTCAAACTGTTTTTAGGAAATGACAATGAATCTAATTCAGAGTAATTTGCTGGAAACAAATTTATACTTGTCATACCTCTGATTTCTACCAGATTTAGTTTTAATATCCCATAATTATCAATACACATTACAAAATGAAACACATCATGAATTTGTTAGTTTACACAATTAAAGCTAACAGTAAAAAGAACTGTATATATTAAATAATATTACTTCATTAAAAAAATTTAACTTATAGCAATTTTCAACCTATTTTGCCTTCAAAAGGTAGATTATGGCTACTACTGCAACACGATTCACACTTTACCCTATTAACACTTACAAACACTTCAATCCCTGGACAGGATCTTTTTCAAGACTGATAAATCTTAGGAACTCAAAATACAATTAATGTACATAAACCACGTAAGAAATTACTTACACCCTGCTGCCACTGGTTGTAGCCCTGAGATTGATTTTTGTAGCCACGATTGTTTCCTCGTCCTCTGAAGTTCTACAAAAAGGAAATAGATCTAAGAGCTCTGGGCCCAATTGCTTGTTAGGTTTGCGGGGGTGGGAGAGAGGAGCAGAAATGGACAGGTTGCTAGCCCCTAATCTTAGGGGGCAATATACAAATTCTGGATACCCTCTGCTGGTTTCTTAGTTTTGTTATTCATTATGAGAAACGCATCTGACTTGTTAATTAGTACACCTGAAAAAACTCTAAAGTAAGTAGACTCATTTCACCATTACTAGTTCAATTTTCCTTATGTCAATGCCTATCATGTTCCTTATGGACTACTAAGACACCCCAACATAAAGCTCACAACTTTCCAGATTAAGCTATACAGATATCATCATGCTTCCAGGGATCTTTAATCATTACCTGGTTGTAGTTCCCTCTGTTGGGCATTCCACCTCTGTTGTAGTTCCCTCTGTTTGAATAACTACCACGGCCAGGAAAAACAGGGGCACGAGGGTATGGATAGCCGATTCCACCACTTCCACCGCCACCACCACCTCTCTGTGGCATGTTGCCCCTCCTATTATATCCGCCACGATTCCCAGGGGCTAAAAAACAAGAGATGTTTTAGTTTCATTGCATTGTACCCTACTTATACAGAAGACTCAGGATTCCTCTAGATTGTTCCTTTTTCTCCAAAAATAATTGTTTAAAGACAAAAGTAATGTTTAATTCTAACCATTAACAACATAACCTAGGTGTATTTACTGTCAAATTACATGAATACTAGTTACTGTGACAGCATACCATTAATGAGGAAGAAACCAGCTATATCCAAACTATAAAATTATCATTTGTTTCGATTCTGAACTAAATACAGAACACTCAAAATTAACTTGCCTCCTCCTCTGAAATTTCCACCACGCATATTGAATCCTCCACGTCCTCTATGGCCACCACCTCTGTTAAACTGGTTCTTGCCACTCTTATTTTTATTGCTTTTCTTTGAGCCAGTGTTCTGTTTCTTTTCTGGTGGAAGAGCCTTTTTGCTTTCTTCCTTATATTGCTCCAAAAGTTTTTGGGCTTCTTCCTTCTGAAGTTCAACATAGGTTATTTCATCAAAGCACTCAGCTACCTCTGGGAGGGTAAAGTTTCCTGCAGGAAACAAAGTCGTATTATTAACTTAGAAACCCACCACAAATCCCCACAATCCTAAAGCTAACAAATTATTAAGGTTTAGTAATGTATTTTCCTAAAAATAAACAGAAATAGACCAAACATATATGCATATTTAACAAGTGCAATTGTAATTCCTGAAGCAGTATTGCTGGAAAAAATGTTAACTTTTCAGAGGAGTAAGTCCTAATAGACATAACAAAGTTACACAAGCAGAATATGCATGAAAAAAAAAACTAAAAAAAAAAAAAAAAAAAAAAAAAAAAAAAAAAAAACGATTTAACACACTTAACAGAATTAAATTAAAATTCCATGCCTTTCATTTTGAGGACCGCATGTTCTGGTAGGTCTTTCCCCTCTACTTCTGCTTTCTTCTGTGTTCTTTGCTTATAGTCTTCATCTTTTGGGCACACTACAACAGCTTTTCGCTGGAAGCCTGCGAACAGGCACATTTTTCTCCTCTGGGCAGCAGCAGACACATTTGTCTTTAAAAAAAGAAATTTATGTTTACAACCCTAAATGTTAATTCTACACCAATCTATCTAAATTATCAGTTAATATTTTTCATCTTCAAAGCTACAGCATACCTGATCCAGAATAAAATTTCGCTTCTTTCGGGCAGCAATCTCAATAAATTTCCCAAGACACTGTGGGGCTCTCTGCAACAGTGTGTTCAGCTTTCCAGTATCTGCCATTTGCTTCTTAAAACCTGCCACCTATATTCAAAAGTTAAAATTTCCCCTTGAACTTGTGAATTTTAGTAAGTTATGCTTTTTAAAATTCAACTCTCATCTATATGTAAAGCAGGCAACATTTTACATTACCTTTGTCCATTATTGTTACAAAAACAGGGTCACTTAAACTATGTAACAAGACCCTACACCCTACACTTAATTCTTTTTAGCTTCTAGAAACACTAGCAGCTCCTGTGCTCAAAAACACAGCAGCCTAGCCACCCGAAGGCAGTTTACCCTCACAGAGCTTAAAGAACCAACTTAATCTTGCCTTTCCTCCCACCTTCTTAAGATATTAACAAAATGGATAGAGACAAAGGCAAAAGGTTTACCTAGAATACCTCCTAGTCTATCATTTTTCTTTTTTTTTTTCTGAGACAGAGTCTTGCTCTGTCGCCCAGACTGGAATACAATGGCACGATCTCGACTCACTGCAACCTCTGCCTCCCAGGTTCAAGTAATTCTCCCTGCCTCAGTCTCCCGAGCAGCTGGGATTACAGGTGCCCACTACCACGCTTGGCTAATTTTTGTATTTTCAGTAGAAATGGGCCTTTGCCATGTTGGCCAGGTGGGTCTCAAACTCCTGACCTCAGGTGATCCATCCACCTCAGCCTCCCAAAATGCTGAGATGACAGGCGTGAACCACCATGCCCAGCCTCTCCTCGTCTATTTTAAACACTGAGATCAGGCCCTAAACGTTTTACTTACCATCATTTTATCCATAATGGTATTTGTGCCAAGAATGTTGTATTTCCCTGGATTTTCCGCTGCATGCTTAGTAACCCAGGTAGTTTTTCCAGCTCCTGGCAAGCCAATCATCATCACAACCTAGTGAAAATAATGAAATGTCATTAGACACCACCTAATAATTCTTTAAATATTGTTCTTTTAAGGCCAATTTAAATATCTAAGTCTTCATAGCCCTTATACTAAGGGACAAAAATTTGTGTTTATGGAAAGAGTAACAGTCAACATAAGGGGAAAACAATAGTTACTTAAGAGAAATATGTACAGCACAAAGTAAACAGACTAATCATCTACCTCTTCTAAATGTCATTTTGTGCCAGGCAAACAATATTCAAATGCCAGTTAAAAAAAAAAAAATCACTTACTTCACAATCTTTCTTCTCTTCAGGCCCCTTTGGTCCTCTAACTCGATCCTCTAAGGGGACGTTCTGGATAAAAGTATACTCTTCGGGTATTGGAAAATATGGCTTTTCCTTCTGACCAAAATTAAATTCAACTGCACAGTTGTGGCAGAGAACATGCGGGAAGAGTGGCCGTCCAGCAAGAACTTCCTTACTGATTTTGAAAGCAATGCCAAGATCTTGTCCATTCTTAGCATAGGAGAGTTCTACTTCATCACTTTCAAAGTTCTGTTAAACAGCAAAAAATTCAAGTTAACTGCTTCCTATAAACTTTCTAAAAAACTAGTAATTAAAATTAGGAGCAAAACTTATCCTGTAGGAGCTACAGGTTAAACAACTATTAAGCGGCCTCTAAGGGCTACACAGTTAAGAAACCTGATGGTTACAAACAATGAAGCACGTATCTCCAGAACCAGAAACAATAGTGACCTAGAAGTTAGACTAAATTTTCTAGGTCAATTTCATCTTGTTTTCAGTCAAAATGAAATTAGTGAGTTCCTCAAAAATGTCCTGTATTTTCCCAATTCAACTGCTGAATGAGTATTTATACTAACCCAGGGACTGGTGTATTTATTTTGCTCCTATTGAAGATTGACCTTAATAAAGCTTCTTAAAAGTTCCTAGATATAGCTACTAATTTGCCATTTATACATAGAAAGTTAGGTTTAACTTACAGCAAAACATGTAATCACATCATTTTCATCAAACTTTTCTCCATAATCTTCAGTCTCACAGTTGCATGTTTTTATTCCTTTTAGAGAATACCCGTAAGAAAATTCTTCTTCACCTAAGAAAGTAATTAACCTTCGTGAAGTAGATTTTTAAAACAGTCCAAAGACTCATCTATTTCACTACTTAAAACGTAGGCTACAAGAGAAATGAGCATATAACCTAATCACCTGTCACTGACACTATTACTTTTCTACCTCTGTACTAGAATTGATGAAAGTTAGGAGGGATATATATATGCAGAGACCAAATTAGTTGACAATTTGCATATCATGGGTAAGATTTTATTTCAACCATAAACTTCTAATAAAGGAACAAAAACTAAAATGTAGCCTGTGCCTACTATGTGCTACTATTACTTGTCTGAAGTATTAACAGAATAGATAAAAACAGACAAACGGCTTAGAATGCCTTCTAGTCTGGTTAAAAAATAAGGATATCAGACCCTCCTAAACATTCATGAGCCCACATCAGTCAAAAAGAATCTTTACCAAGTAACATTCCACTTGTAGTTAGTGACCAGCCAATACGAACTTCATGTATGTCAATATCTTTTGTATATAAATGCCTTACTGGGATCTTCTCTGTAACCTGAAAGTCGAATTATTAAATAATTAAAATCATAAACCAAGGAGGTAACCCCTTAACTCTGGCTTATTTCATAGGGTCATGAGCTAATCTTCCTCTAGCTACAAATACAAAGAGATGGCACACTCTAGCCCATCCCTAGTATTTGTAAGAACTTTAAACTGATGTGCTTATAACTTGAAATGTTAAATACTTATTTGACCCATATTTAAAAGAATAGTTAATGTTTTTACAGTTCATGTTGTCAGTCTTCAACTTAAAGCCAATTAAAGGATACATTTAATGTTTTTCTCGCCAACACAACCTGTAATCTAACCAAATTTTATTTTTCACTCTTTGGTGGCCCTTTCAAATGCTTGATAAAAATGAAGTACCCTACATAAAAAGTTGCCTAGCTCTGCATGTCAACTTCTAACATAACAAACTTAACTGTCACAACAAAATGAAGGTTCCAAGTTCCTCTTTTAATTTACAGGAAGCTTCAAAAATAAGTACCTCTGATAACTTAGCAGTATGAAGCACCTGTAATTTCAGTATTCTGGGAGGCCCAGGCAGGCAGATCACTTGAGTTTAGGAGTTCAAGACCAGCCTGGGCAACATGGTGAGACCCTGTCACTATTTTAAAAAGAAAAAAAAAAAAAAGGCTGGGCGCGGTGGCTCAAGCCTGTAATCCCAGCACTTTGGGAGGCTGAGGTGGGTGGATCACCTGAGGTCAGGAGTCCCGTTCTCTATTAAAAATACAAAAATTAGCCAGGTGTGGTGGCACGTGCCTGTAGTCCCAGCTACTTGTGAGGCTGAGGCAAGGAGAATCGCTTGAACCCAGGACGGGGAGGTTGCAGTTGAGCCTAGGTCACACCACAGCAATCCAGCCTAGGGGACAGAGTGAGACTCTGTCTCCAAAAACAAACAAAAACATCATAAAATTGCATTTACCTTCATCTCAAAACACACTTTGCCTTTTGACACACCATAAGATGCTCTTCCTCCAGCCCAAAGAAAAGCGAAACTTTCCATTGTAAGGGAAGAAGCACTGAGACGATCTCTTGATATTTTAAAATGTAGATCACAATTATCTGTAATTATATCAAATACTGTGTTACTTTTGACATCCAATGTAAACATATCTGCTATGTAGAGAAAACTTGGTTATTTAATTTTTGCATGTACTTCTTAATGCTGCACAACTTTTCTCCACATCATGCTGTTGTTCCAATTTTCAGTTTAAAGCCCCACTCCCACCAAGTCACTCCTTTTAAATTATGTACTGAAAAGTAAACTGCCTCTGAAACTAATACCAAGGTTTAACATGTATATTTTAAGTATTTAAAATAATCAAGACAATGTGACATTAATACATACCTGCTCTGCTCTTTACCTTGATTTAGAGGCAAGCAGTAGAGGATAGCAGGAAATCAAAGTGAAGCATGCCAGAACCAGGTAGATTTACCAGTGCCACATTAAAACTGAAGGGAGGCCACGACCAAATTATTTTGAAACAGGAGTATGAGCTGCTGTTGATCCTGCACCAGGGCTCTAGCTCCTAAATTCTTCTTCTAAAACTTGTGAAGAAGACAGCCTAAATCTATGAAGTACAAACCTGGTCGTCTAATGCTGTTAATAGTGCAGCATTTTAGGTCCTCTTTACCCAGGACTGCCTGTTCAACAATCAGGGATTAACTGCTTCCCGGATTATCCAAATCCAAAGTGTCTTTAACCTAGCTACCTATGGGTCACTGGCTCATTAACATGCACCTTCTCAGACTTCTCACTTCAACAGCTAAAGTCAAGCTGGAATTCGATTTTTTTTTTTACTGATCAGAGAAAAATAAATCTACAGTTTGGAATTTTTCTTAAATTAGAATTACTGTAATCAACAGAATTTAATTCAACAGATTGTTTGAATTCAACATTGTGTTTATATTGACATATGCCTATCTGATTTGCTAAAAAATCTAACAATTACATTACCTGCATGAGTCACCACTTCACTACCTTGCCAATTCCTAGCAACTTTTTATTTACACAACCCAGAATTTCACATAAAACTTTCAAATCAACTAACTCCTTTTTCACCTGCAGTTTTTTACTTTAAAAAGGCTCAGATGACTATCTCAACCTTCTGTAAAGGACATTCCAGTAAGAAAGAGTTTTACATTTACACTCTTACAAATCTGAATAAAACCAAATTGTACAAGAAAACATGAGAAGCTAAGCTTCAATGCCCTCCATCTAACAGAGCAGGCTGACACCACAGCTGATACTTTCAAACAGGTATTTCTATTCTTTGGTCTATTTATCACACCCAGAGTTGTGAATTCTGATCACTAAACCAACTACTTTTTTTTATAACAACAACAAAAAAAATGCAAGTCTGACAGTCAAAGCCCACTTAGAGGTTTGCAATACTTTCTCATACTCAATTGCAACCCAACTGGGTGAAGTAGCAGTATTTACAGTGCTGCACTGCCATTGATACCATTCGCTGCTGAAGAAAGCTAGTGGCCCAGTGATAGCCCACTGCTGCTGCCTCAGGTCTTTGGAAGAAATCAACTTATGTTTAAAGCAGCAGCTACTGAACTGGAATTGAGAACAAAAGAGCAGTTATTGAAAAAGTAATATTACAATCTTTTAGAATAGGGAATATACTTGTGTGCTAATGGGAGAAGTCATTAGTAAATAATTAACTAGCCCAAATAGCTCACTTAATATAATTCCACAAAAAAATGAATTACTTTATTGTAGAAGCCTGTAAGGCTAAATTATAGGTAGTGTTACAAGTTTCCGTTAGCTAGTCAGAAACTGGCATTAATTTTACATTTCCTAAGAACGAGAACTTTCAAGTCATAAAAATATGAAACTCCTAGAGCCTGTAAAATAATCCATTTGATACAACTGATGCCGTGCTAAATATTAAACTACTAGGTTCTGAATATAAACCATTATCTCTTCCTGCTTTAAAAAAAAACTAACCCAACTTTTGCTGCACTTAAGCATTAAGTTTTCTAACATTTTGGAAGCAAAAAAAAAAAAAACCATCACCGCATTTCATAACTGGGGAGAAACAGCTTCACTTACAAGTATCAAGACAAACCACTGTGTCATCGAAGTGTTCATCTTCTTCTTCAACAGGTGGCTGAGGAGATTTGGCTCTGAAAGACAGAATTGTCTCCTGATACAGCTTTCCGATCAACGAACGAATAAGGGATGACAAGTCAAACTAGGGGAGCATCCTATACCTGCTATACTTGTTCTCTTCAATGTACTCAAAATATCCACGGCCATGATCTTCTCGTGGTCTTTTAACACCCCTCTTTTTATCTCCGCCTTTCTGTTCTGTTTTGCCGTCCCCTAAAACACACAAGACCCCCATAAGAGGCCGAGCCGCTAAACAACAACAAAAAAGCGCTTTTCCGTTCCGAGAAGCAAAGCAGCTCGACTTTATCCTGCTTTGTAACTGAGGTTTTAACCGAGGACTCAAAAGTGAATTCGAAGAACAATCAGCTACGAATCGGATTGGCGCTAGTGACGCAGTCTAAAGACGTTACGAATTTTGCCAGTCTCCTCGATGATTCCAGAAACGCAAAGAAAAACTGCGCGGCCCAGGCCCGAAGCCCACGTGTATCGCGACCCGGGCGCAGGAGGGG